CCAAATGTTGGTAGACTGTGGTGTTTCGCACTTGCACGTCCTTGTGTGGGTCGTGTGGATGATGCTTGTGTTAGCCAATTGTGGTAGTTTGTTGTTGTTGTTAGCCTTTGATTTGTTGGGGAAAGAGAAGCATCTCGCTGAATACTTTTCTGCTTTTGGAATGTCTCGTTGTTTTTGGAATGGAATCTAGTCTTTACAAACGTTAGTTGGTCTGCACTATAGTGTGGTAAGCACTCATTTACGACTGGTAGTCCCTTAGCTTCATGGACTGTGGTAGCTGCACGCCATACCAACAGAAGCGAACTAGGTCCTGACCCCGTGAGCTGTAATGCCAACCGCAAGCACAGTGGCGAGTCGTCATGCCACGCCAGCGTGTAGCCCCCTGCGTGACGGAGGCTGGTGGAGCCATCTCCATAAGGACACGAACTCGGCAGTCACCCGTAAAGTCCTTAGTCATAATTCCACGCCCCCTTTACTTAAAACTCGTTGAATGACTCATGGCTTACCCTCCCTCACCCAATCTTCGTTTGGTTCGTGTTCAGGCGGATTAGCAACTAATTTCCAGGGTTGAGTCTCCATCAGTCGAGGCAGTGTTGAATGTGAGGATCAATCCACTTGAATAACAGTAGCCGGTCCCGCGTTCATCTCTTCCACCTCAACGAAACGAGTATATTGATTAAGGGCGCTCTTTATCGGGCAGTATCGTAAAGAAGGTCAAGGGGTCAGAGTTCGGATCACATCGCTTCCTCGAGGGCGGGTGATGTCCGTTCTGTAACAAGTCGTGTTCTCGGAAGGCTTCTCGCCCAGGAGGTGTGCTCAAACAAGCATTCTGGAATATTCTTTCCCCTTGATTGCAGTTTATTTCCGGTAGAGTTCATCGATTACAAATCGGAGTTCCACTCGTCTCCAGTTTGAGTAAAGCTTGTTCCTCTGAGACCTGGTAGGCTTGATCGAGGCATTAATCACGTTAGCTAGGTCGTCATCTCCTTATCTTCGTTTGCTTTGATGGAACTGTTATAATTTGTAAACACTGTCGACAGTTTGGCAATTTCAAATTGAAAAATAAATACCAACATCTGCCAAGTTTGGTAAGTTGTCACCAACTTCTGTGAAGCATTTGTCTATCTAAGGCACGCTGAACAAACACATGACGTAGTGATTTGGAGCGCTTCAGCAGGACTATTTCTTTTCTCATAGCCTCCACAACACATAATCGTACTCGACACCCTAAGAAGTGCAATGTTTTGGGGTTATTCAGAATTTCCCCAGTGCGCAAACTCCGTTAGTGTTTGCCACTATGCTCACAATGGTCGTCATGACAAACGAACATCCGAAAATTGCATTTAGGCATGACGTGAGTCCTCGCAAGGCTGATGGGGGTGCATCGAATAGCAATAAAATTAGCTTTTAATAAATTTATTTAGTCCCAACTTGAATGGACGCGTTTAAGTGAAGTTATAAGATGTTCTTTAGAATAACGTGCACTGCGAGTGTTTTCATGCAAATCGACTAGCACATTTCACTCTAGAAGAATCCGCCTCTGACTAAATTTAACCGACTTTATTTGGTACTGAAAACGTTTGCTGTGCTGTCATACTAAGTGGTTCTCCCTGCCTTTCCCTAGTGGTAGCTAAAAACGCATTCACCACTAAAGCCAGTGGTGCCAAGGATTCAGCACGGTAAATCTTATTTCATCTCCGAATGCTGCAAGGAGTACACTTTAGTAAGCAATGGTATTATAAAGTCACCATCTTGTAAGGATATCCTCGACACTGGCGTGTGCCGCTGACGCATCAGCCGTTCGCCTCGTCGCGTGTGCGTCATGACCCGACTAGTTCCCTGATTGGTCAGTCGGTCATGCGGACATCCTAGCCCTCCTTTCACCAGTCGGACGGCCGAGGTGACTCAGCACCATGATCACTGTGGGGCCTGACTGACAAGGTCCTTGTACGAAAAATCAAATTATTAACGTCGTACTATCTTGCCCGGTAGTAAGGAAATTTACAGTGATGTGTGACAAGGTATCCGTCAGCTCCTCCAATCTA